CCACAATCCAAATACCTACTTGACATCTTTGTTTCACTGTGTATGTGTTTGTGTGTATGTGGATGTGATGGCGAGAGAATGTGTTCCTCCCTAGTTTTGCCAATGTCTCGGTATATGGGAACTCTATTTCCACAGCTGTGTAGGACAAAAGGAAAAAAGGAGAAAGCCTGGTTATTCTTAACTCCTTTTTCTTATACCTTACATTCAACCCATTAATAAAATGTATTAGCAATATCTTCAAAAGACATTTATAATCTTTTCACTTCTCATTATCTCCATCAAGTTTGGCACACTGGTGTGTGCCAGTAATTGAAGTAACTCAGGAGGACTGCAAATTCAAGGCCAGCCTCAAAACATAGTGAGGTCCTAAGCAACATAGGGAGATCCTGTCTCAAAATAAAAATTAAAAAGGGTTGGGGGCTGGGTTGTGGCTCAGTGATAGAGTGCTCGCTAGCATATATGAGGCACTAGGTTCGATCCTCAGCACCATAAAAATAAATAAAATAAAGTCATTGTGTTCATCTACAACTAAAGAAAAATATTTTTTAAAAAAGGGTTGGGGATGTAACTTAAAGGTAAAGCATCCCTGGGTTGGGTTCAATCCCTAGTACCAAACAAACAAAAAAACTCATCACTCATCACCTCTAACCACTTCTACCACTCACACTAGTATAAAACCAACCTCTCACGTAAACTCTTGCAATAGGCTTCTATTTTTCTCCCTGTTTCCACCCTTCAATCCCATTACAGTCAATTCTTCTTATGGCTGCCAGAGCGATGTTAAAAACAATGCATATCTTTCATATACGTAAACTTCTGAAAGTGGCTTTCCTTAATACTCCAGAATCCTGACTCTAGCTTATAAGGTCCTGTATAATCTGGCTTATTTTCTATTGCTGCAACCTCATCTCTTTTTACTTGTTTACTGTGATCCAGCTACACTGACCTCCTTGCTGTTTCTTGAACATCCTAGGTATATGCTCACTTCATTATCCTTTGCCTGGAATAGTCTGTCCCAGATAGCTACAAGACTTACTCCCTTATCTCCTTTGAAGAGGCCCCTGTTTTTTACCTCATACAAAAAACAGAAACCACTCCTTCACCTAAGAAGGCAACTTCCTATCCATTTGTATTTTTCCCATTGTACTTGCCACCAGCTAGCATACACATACATTCAGATCTTCCTCCTTACTTGCACACCTGTGCATGCACACACAAACATGTGCAAACATGTTGTTTTTCCACAACAATGTAAATTCCAGAGGGCACAAACTTTGCTTTTCTCACTTCTGTATTCCCAATACCTAAAACAGTCCCTGGCATTTATTAGGTTCAATAAATATTTGTTAATTAATGAGGCAGACAGCAAGAGACTGACAGACCACACACAAGCAGCAGGCACAATTTAGCTAGTTCAAAATGTCTACCATTCCATTCAGTGAGCATTTGTACAGAGCCCTGAGGTTGGAGACATTAATCTACTATTCCCTCTTATGCATGTATACATTCAAGATGCTAAGGATGATGATGATGATGATGATGATATAGTACCTTTTAAAAATAACATGATATTCAACCAAAGAAACAGTAATGTGAAGTTCCAAGAGTAAAGAAGAAAGTTGTCTGACTTGAACTTTTTGACAAGCATATTATAATGTTTGGGTGATTTGAGTGATTTTTCATGGGTAATGAGTAATATCTCTCTTTAGGCCTCATATCAGTGTGTGGAATATGGGTCTGTAGTAAAAACTTGGACTCTTAAGTCAATTTTTGGCTTTGCCATTTATTGGAGAATGTGATATTATGCAAGTTACTCTCTATAAAGCTTTATTTCCTCACCTATAAAATAGAAGCAATTACATACCTGCTTAATAGTGTGACTATAAATATTAAACAAAATAGTGCACATAAAAGCACCAGTGGCTGTCATACGGCAAATGATTAGTATATGGTAACTGCATATTCTTATTACTAAGGAGTTAATGAAGACATTTAACACATCTGAATTCTTTCATCCTTTCATAAAAGTTACACAAACTGAATTGCTAGCACTAAAATCACTCAAGACATGATAATGTATTTATTTTTTTAGAAAAAAGTTACAATCGAAGTCTTCAAAAACCTGTAAAATAAACTACAGGTTTAATGATTCTTATTGTCTAAAATTGCACTAATAATGTCATTTCTATTATAAGATTATAATCCTGCTCAGTTCTAGCTTTTGAGTATTTAGTGAATAATACACAAACTGAAAATAACTTGAGGGATGCCTGATGATCCTTTGATCAATAGATTCTTTTCTTTTTTATTGGTGACTGCCTACCTCTTAGATACATGAAACTTATCAAAAAAAAAAAAAGGCTGGGGTTGTGGCTCAGTGGCAGAGCACTTGCGTCACACAGGAGGCACTGGGTTCGATTCTCAGCACCACATAAAAATAAAAAACAAAACAAAGATATTGTGTCTATGTATTTAAAAAAAGGAAAGAAAAAAAATTGAACTCCTGTGATGGGTCAAATGTTTAAGTCTCACCCCAATTCATATGCTGAAATCCTAGCCTCTAATGCGATAGCATGGGAGGTGAGGTTTTTGAAAGGTAATTAGGTCATGAATCTGAGGCCCTCATAAATGGGGTTAGTGTCCTCATAAAAGGGACCCTGGAAAGCTCTCTTGGGACCCCTTTGCCAGGTAAGGACACAGTGATAAGATGACTATCTATAAATCAAGAAGCAGGCCCTCATCAGACAACTCAGACGTGCTGGGATAACTCTTTCCAACACACCTGGTAAGTTAGGATATATGAACTAGGGCATTTAGAGTGACTACAGATCAGATAGAGAACTTAAAGAGATACAGTCCACATAGCCTACCTATCAATTTCAACCTTTCTAAGCATGTATCACTCACTCCATGTCTATATCCACATACTCTGGAGCCTAGTAAAGCAAAGGAAAGAATTATGCTAAAAGCCTCATTATGAAGCAGGGAGAGTACTGCTTTTTATTTCATTCTTTTCAAAATCAAAAGCCAAAACTTGAAATATAGAGCACAAAGAATAGTGTTTCTCAAATTCTATTCCTTAAGAAATGTTAAGAGGTATCATACAAATAAAGGGTAGAAAGCCGGTCACAGTGGCACACACCTGTAATCCCAGTGGCTCGGGAGGCTTAGGCAGGAGGATCATGAGTTCAAAGCCAGTTTCAGCAAAAGCAAGGCAATAAGCTACTCAGTGAGACTCTGTCTCTAAATAAAATACAAAATAGGGCTGAGGATGTGGCTCAGTGGCCAAGTGCCCCTGAGTTCAATCCCTGGTACCAAAACAATCAACAACAACAACAACAAAAAAGGTAGAATGGTCAAACAAGTTTAAGGAATATTATGTACTGTGTCCTACTTGAAGATATATATATATATATATATATATATATATATATATACACACACACACACACACACTAAGGATTGAACTCAGGGTTGCTTTACCACTGAGCCACATCCCCAGACCTTTTTATTTTGAGACAGGGCATTGCTAAATTGCTGAGGCTTGTCTAGAACTTGGAATCCTCCTACTTCAGCTTGTCAAGATGCTAGAATAACAAGCATGCGCCATTGCACCTCAAATTTATATTTTCTTCTTCTTTTTAGTTGTAGGCGGACATAATACTTTTATTTTATTTATTTATTTTTTAAGTGGTACTAAGGATCAAATCCAGTGCCTTACACATGCTAGGTGAGTGCTCTACCACAGAGCTACAACCCCAGCCCAAGATTTATAATTTCTGTTAGGATATTAAAAGCTCTAAAAAGTCTGGATTTTAAACACAGCAAAAAAATCCTACTAATTTTGTAAACCCAGCCATTTGTGAAATTTATTATGAACAATTTGTGAGAATACCTATTAATACCTGATGGAACACTGTTGGGAAAATCCTTGAATGGAAAGATATTGCCAGAGTTTCTTAAGAACATGGTAGCTGACCAGGGTAAAAAAATAAATACATTGGTACCATGGCAATGGTAACACTGACAATCCTGAATGTGTCTAAAAATTATTTAATAATTTTTTTCCAATTAACAACTACAAGTTGATTTCATGATTATCTAATGACTATAACCAAAACCCATATTAGCACCAGTACTTAATAAATTGGCCATGACAATGCAGTCAATAATAAGAAAATATAATAAGCTGATCAGTAAGGAGGCAAAGCTTGATTACATAATCAGATTCAGTAAATCCACTGACTTCTGATTTTGACAGAAGCACTGTTACTCTTTTAAACATCCAAGAACAGGCTCACTGCTTCATGAAAGTTTTCAGCCCAGGTGACAGTCTAATTGTTTCAGGAAAAGAACCAGTGGGGGGAAAAATGAGAATTCAAGGGGAAGGTACAAGCACTAATACTGGTATAGAAATTACATAGCAGAACTGTACAAAGTCATACAGGAAAGAATTGCAACCTAAATATAGTTCTCCAGCATAATTCACATATCTGGTAATAAGGGTCACTGCTGTTTCTTTTGCTATCAGCTGCTACAAGAGACCATTCTGGGTCACTGATGACAACCACAGGTCTTCCAGTAACAGAAAGTTGGGAAGTAGAAGTAAGGTTGGAGGAAAAAAGGAAAATAGAAGGTTATGAGTCCTCAGTCTTAAGCTTCCTTGGTTCACATATTCTTTTCCCTACTCTTGATAACCACCTTCAAAATCATTCCTGTGTCTACCACTCTTGGACCCTAAAATATCCAACCTGAATATTCCACTCATCTTCCTCTTTCCCTCTATTCTGAGGTTCCTTTTCTAACTACCTTTCAGAACGTTTATTGTATATAAGCCTCAACATCATCAGAAAGCAGGCAAGGGAAAGAAATGAAAGTTTCACAAGCATAAACTGTAAATTAATTATGTCTTTCAGAGCAACTTTGCTTCCTGTTCAGAAGAAATTTAACCAATGTTCTAAGTATGTCTAACATTTCATCAGAACAATGCAAACAAATACGAACTACTAAATCTCACCTGATGTTTCATGTAATGATTCATATAGGGGGTTGCCATTCTACTAACTTTGAGGCAGAATGGACACAGCAAGTTCTTCGTGTTTTCATGGGATGCTCTAAAATGAGTTTCTACATCAGAAAATGTTGAAGATCTAAACTGGCAAACCTAAAAATATAAAGAAGTTTTAGTTTAACCTGAAGCTTTATAACTTGCATAAAATGACATCAAATTAGCCATGATGAGGTACTTGTTAAGAATATTCTGAACTACTAGTTTAGCTTTACTGTCTATGCAACCAAGAGTCCTATTAGTAAAAGTAATAAAGATAACTCTGAAACTGAAGAGTTATCTTTCAAAGTTAGGTGTATATTCCAAAACATAGACTCCCTTCTTTTCACCATCCCCATCTTGACTTGAATTTTCAAACTTTGATGCCTCTTGTTCTGTAAAGTTTTTCCTGCTATACAAAAAAGTATTTTCTTCTTTAGATTTTTAAAGGCTATGAAACGGTGGCAATTTATCCTTACCTTGCTTTCTTATTACTGACAGTCACTTTAAATTCTGGAAAAACAATGGTCCCAAAACATGTAATTGGGTTCTCTATAAATAGAAGCATTTTCTGTTTTCCTGTAATGTCTACATTCTCCCCTAATATGATAAGCCTTTAGGTTTCTTTCTCCAGCAGGATATCTCTTTGCCCAGAACAGGAGGGTCAACAAACTATGGCCCACAAGGCAAATCTAGCCTACCACCCCCAAGGGAGTTTTCACTAATGAAGAGGCTCTTCAATTTTAGAACGATAACTACCTTAAATGGTCAAAAATCCAAAGAACAACATTATTTCATGGCACCTGAAAATTAAATAGACACCTAAGTATACAAAAAAATCTGTGTACCTGGCAAATATATGGCATTTCACCGGGTTTATGAGTATCCTTCATATGTTGTAAAAGAATATGCTCTGTTTCAAATGACAATTCACAGATTTTGCAAATGGCTGCAAGTGGGGAAAAAAAATCACACAATTTTAAGGATGTATATTTAAAAAGGATGCATTTTGTACATCTGTAACAATGACAACAAGAAGTAACAGTAATAGTGGTAGAAATAACAGTGAGGGTGTTCTAATAATTCTATCACTATTAACATTGTTCTAAGGGCATTATTTAGCTTATTTAATTCTCATAACATCACTGAGGGAAGTGTACTACTAGTTTTAGCCACATTTTTCAGATGAACCAAAAATATAGAAATATTAATGAATTGTTTACAAGAGGCATTTCAATTTTAGTAACAAATTTTATTTAAGTATAAGAGTTAAAAACTGTTTTTTTAAATTTTACCCTCAAGGTCTATTTTACCATTAGGATTCTTAAGGTTCTTTCATAGTTCAGATGATCAAAATCAGTAATATTCATAATTTCAAGGATTGTCACTTACTAGAAAACTCATGGGGAGTGTGAGTACTCTCAATGTGGCACTGCAACTGGAAGGGCGTGGGATACTGCCTGTAGCAGTGCTGACAGGTGGTGTGGTTTTCCCAGCTCTCACTGTTCTGCTTCTCGAGTTCCAAATGGTGCTTCATATGGTTCATGAACCTATAAATCATTGTCAATAGGTACAAAGATTCAGATTTATAACCAGAGAGAAATCTCACAAATAAATGTCTGATCTTAAATTTTAAAAATACAGTTGTCTGACTAAATCAAAATAATATCTCCAAGGCCTTAAAGTCCTCTAAAAAAAACACCTGGGCAAAACAGCAGGACCCCATCACACACAAAAAAGTGTGTACTTTATTCATTAAGTGGCTCACTAAACACTTTTTCTTTTCATCTTGTTTCAAAACGTTCTGGGTAAAGAAAAATAGCAGGCTTCTTTCCAACACATGAAATACTATTTACATTTCAAAATAAAACACTTATAGAAAGAAAACTACCACCAACAGTAGCTATGGAGTCATGAAAGAAATCTTTTAAAGATTTTGAAGATATATATGTATGTATTTGTATCTTGGTTTCAAAATGCATGTAAAAATAATGATAATAATTAAAAGAACCTTTTGCTTTATTTAGTGATACTGGCTTTCTGTTGTTACAAATTGTTGGGCTGGGGATGTGGCTCAAGCGGTAGCCCGGGTTCGATCCTCAGCACCACATACAAACAAAGAGGTTGTGTCCGCCAAAAAGAAAATAAATAATAAATATTTAAAAACTAACTCTCTCTCTCTCTCTCTCTCTCTCTCTCTCTCTCTCCCCCCCCTCTCTCTTTTAAAAAAACCAAATTGTTCATTTTTCCTTACAGAATGTCATTTAAGGCACAGAGTATACAATAAATGGGCATACCTACTTTGAAGAGTGTACTGAAGCTTTTGGCTGAATTTCAAAGTAAAGTTTCAATCAAAGCAACAATTTTAAGAATGGGTCAACTACTTATAATAACTCACTATAAGTTCCTAAAGAAAATCTTGAAACAGGGTGGACTAGATAGCAATCATTGTGAAAGTTTAACATTTATCTTTTTTTTACACCTTCAAAACACTGCTTCTTTTTAGAGTTGATTATGAAACACCTTGCAATATCTTCTTTATTCCTTTGGTTTTGGAAAATGTCTGCAATTTGAAAACTATCCAAAAAATCAAATGGTTCTATGAATAAATACATATGTGGTAAAACAAGTACAAGCTTAGCATCCCTAATCTGAAAATCTCAAATTTGAAATGCTCCCAAATCTAAAACTTTTGCGCACCACGATACCATAAGGTGAAAATTCTGCACCTTACTTCATATGATGAGTCACAGGCAAAATGTCAAGTATACCATAAATATTATATAAAATCACCTTTAGGCTATGTGTATAAGGGACATGAGAAACAAAAAAAAATTGTGTTTAGACTTGGGTCTTGAATTCAAGACATCTCATTATAGATATATGCAAATATTCCAAAATCTGATAAAATATCCCAAATCTGAAGCATTTCTTGTGCCAAGAATTTTGGATAAGGGATATTCAACTTGTATAGTAAAATGTTAATGGTAGAATTGTGTTGATAAGGGCTGGGGATGTGGCTCAAGCGGTAACGCGCTCGCCTGGCATGCGCTCCCGGGGCGCTGAGTTCGATCCTCAGCACCACATAGAAATAAAATAAAATGTGTCCACTGAAAACTAAAAAACTAAATATTAAAAAATTCTCTCTCTTTAAAAAAAGAATTGAGGTAATAAACAGATGGTCATTGTAAAATTTTTTAATTTTGTTGAATATTCAAAAATTTTTATTATAAAATATTAGAAAAACAATCTCACTTAATGTTAAGATATGTAATGTAACACATAACTCAAAGACTACAACAAGTTCTTAAAATTTAAAGCATACATGTATAAAATCTTTAAAATTCCACTGGAGGGTGTGACTCTACTTTGTGTACAACCAGGGACATGAAAATTGTGCTCTATATGTGTACTATGAACTGAAATGCATTCTGCTGGCATGTATAACAAATTAGAATAAATAAATAAATTTTTAAAAATTCCACTGGAAATTAAATCTGTTTTAAAATGTATTAAATCATAAAATCAAAGCAAACATGTTTCATAGAACTTGAATGTCTCTAAAAGATGACCACCAAAAAAATCACTATCTCTATAGGTAAATATGTTAAAAAATTTAAGTACAAACAGAAAAATTTGAGCATTAAATAAGACCAGCATGGAGGTTAGATTAGATAATGTATTTTTTCTTGTGATAGAAAGAAATGTTAAGGGGCTGTGGCTGTAGATTGCCTAGCATCTGTGAGACACTGGGTTCAATCCTCAGAGCCACATAAAAACAAATAAATAAAATAAAGGTATTGTGTCCATATACAACAAAAAAAAAGTTAAAAAAAAGGTATGTAAGATTCACAAGCAACTAGAAAATAAAAACATGTTACAAAACTCTTAGTTCACTATTATATAGATAGCAAAGAAGTAATTTTCCTTAAGTTATAATATATTTTGTCCTTAAACTAACTGAAAAATATGATTATGGAGATCCAGGAGTACTACAAGTATTACTAATAATAGTAGTATTACTACTAAAATATAAGAGAGCAAAAGGGCTAGGATTATAGCTCAGTGGTAGAGGCTTGCCTAGAACATGTGAGGCACTGGGTTTGATCCTCAGCACTACCTGAAAATAAATAAAATAAAGGTATTATATCCATCTACAAATAAAAAAAATATTAAAAAAAGAAAAAATAAAGAGAGGGCAAAATATTTTCAACATACTGTTTTACCTAGAGTGGGAAAGAAAAATAATATAATATTCATATTCCAAAATTCAGGATTTTATACATTGTAGTATCTAATTGTGAAACAATTGTAAGTAAGTATTTACATACCTAATATTATTTTTAAGAACTTTCAAGCAACTGAAGCATTTAAAGGTTGTGTAAGTCTTCGGTTCTTCTTCCATGGCTCCTTCATGTCTTCCATAATAAAAGTCACTAACTAACATGATCAATTTTCCTTTCTCTGAACCAGTATTAGTTTTGTCTTCGGCACATGAAAGTTCTGTTTTAACACTTTCCATTAAGTTATTTATCATGTCCGGGCAACAACGCTAAAAAGAAGGGGAAAAAAGCCTTCTTTATATCTCTTTTAAAAGTGAAAGGTCAAAAATGAATTCTGTGTTTGGGCTGGGGTTGTGGCTCAGTGGTAGAGCACTTGCCTCACATGTGTGAGGCACTGGGTTCAATCCTCAGCATCACATAAAAATAAATAAATAAAGATATTGGGTCCATCTACAATTAAAATAATATTCAAATAAATAAAAACGAATTCTGTGTTTACATCTAGGGTCAGATCATATAAAACTGTGCATGGCAATATATCTGGAAGGACATTCACCAAAATGTTGGCTTTCTTTTATAAATTTTGAACAATTCTAACAATAAATACTTACTATATTGATAAAGAAATAGCTTCAAAAACAAATTGAAATCCTTAAGGTCAGGGATATCTATATATTTGACTTATATATTTATAAATGTAAATACTTAATAATTTGCTTCTTGGCCAAAAATAATATATTTCATATTTGCAGCAAGATATAGCTTAAAGAAAAGGTTGTTTGAAATGACTATGCATAAGCTTAATTATTAAATAAAAAAGTAGTACTTTAGTAAGCTTGGTTGGAAGCAGACTCTAATCATTGCTAACCTGCCATTCTCCAGAGTTAAGGTGCTAGAAGATATGTGTCTCACAAAGAAAGAAGCATCAATTATATCTTGCAAACCTCAACACATTCTATCTAGAATGCTTAAATATTAGACAGGGAAGTCTATCTCATGAATAAAATCAAAACCTCACATAAACTGATCCTATTGTGGAATACTTTCATACATAAGCCTTTTTTCTCAATAAGAAAATGTATTCAGGATCAGGTGTGGTGGCATACTCCTGTAATTCCAGCAGCTTGGGAGGCTAAGGCAGGAGGATCTCAAGTTCAAAGCCAGCCTCAACAAAAGCAAGGCACTAAGCAACTCAGTGAGACCCTGTCTCTAAATAATATACAAAACAGGGTTGGGAATGAGGCTCAGTGGGTGAGTGCCCCTGCGTTCAATCCCCAGTACCAAAAAAAAAAAAAAAAAAAAAAAAAAAGAAAGAAAGAAAGAAAGAAAGAAAGAAAGAAAGAAAATTTATTTATTGTCACTTAGAATCATTTAAAAACAAAAATAGGAGAAAATATTCACAAACCACAGATCTGATAAAAGGTTAATATCTAAAACATACAAGAACTCTTATAAGTCAACAGAAAAAAAACCCAAACTGATTTAAAAATGGATACAGGAACTGAATAAGACATTTCTCAAAAGCAGATATAGAAATAGCTAACAGGTAGGTGAAAAGGCACTCAACAACATTAATTATCAGGGAAATACAAATCAAACCACGACAAATTATCACCTCAAACTTTACCAAAAAGACAAAAGATAAGTGTTGGTGACAATGTGGAGAAAATGTATACCCATAATGGGAATATAAACTGGTGCAGCCACAGTGGAAAACATATGGAAATTCCTCAAAAATTAAAAACAAGTACCAAAAAATCCAACAGTGTTATTTCTGGGTACATATCCAAAGAAATTGCAATTAGGATTTCAAAGGCAAATCTGCAATCTTGTGTTCATTGTATCATTATTCACAATAGCTAAGAACTAAAAGCAATCTAAATACAAATGGATAAAGAGAACGTGGTGTGTGTGTGTGTGTGTGTGTACACACACACACACACACACACTATGAATATTATTCAGCCTTAAAAAAGAAAGAAATTCTACCATTTGAACAATGGATAGACTTGCAAGATATTATATTAAGTGAAATAAATCAGCAAGGACAATACCACGATTCGTCTTTTAAGAGAAATCTAAAATAGTCGAACTACTAATACAGAGGATAGACTGGTAGTTGCCATGATCTGGGAGAAGAAGCAAATGGGGAAGTTTAGTATTAGTCAAAGAGTATGAAAGTTCAGTTATTCAGCATGACTAAGCCCTAATGGCCTACTATACCAGCATAGTGCCTACAGTTAACAATACTGTATTGCATACTTAAAAAATTTGCCAAGAGGGTAGATTTTATGTTGTGTTCTTATCACAAAAATATTACAATGGGCAGCTGCAAACTTTTAAGGTAATGAATATATTTATGGCATAGACTGTAGATGGTTTCACAGCTGTAAACTAATTTCCAAACTCACTGAATTGTATGTACGAAGTATGTACAGCTTCTTGTCATACCTCAGTAAAGTGGTTTAAAAAAGGGACAAGCCTATATAACAAAACAAGTTAGGGTGGAAAACAGTAACTTTCCTAAAGTCTAAGCTATGTACACATAAAATAAGTACAACATAAAAGACTCAAAAAATAAAACATAATAAAATAAAACAGAACCAAGACCAATTAAATGTATCTTACCAATTAAATCTCTCCTATCAATGAATATAAATGGGCTTAAATGAATGAAAACAAAGATTTTCATGTAGGATTACAAAAGAAACTAGTGAAAATAAGAAATCTACAAAAAATAAAGTGATTTGAAAAGGTTGAAAATAAAAGGCTAAATAAGAAAATAACAGGTAAATGCAAACAATAAAAAAGCAAGGGTTGTAAGCTTGCTATCACATAAAATGAAATTTAGATGAAAATCATGAAACAATCAGACAAAAAGGGTATTTAAAAAAATGTCAATGGTACATTCACAATGACATTATAAAAGAGATATCCACCTATATCCTAAAGAGCAGCACCACAAACTAGAACAGGAAAATACCAAAGAAAATATTGATAATGTGAGACTTGGATTCACCTTTCTCAAATACACTCTGGGAAGTAAGTGTAGTAATCTATTCAATAGTTTTGCCCCCAAAGAGATTTGTATTTGGAATTTTAAAATATGTCTTTTCCCCCTATTTTTTTGTAAAACGCTTAATTTCAATAAAAATATGCCAATCTTCAGAATAGTGAGCAGTACCTTTTCCTAAGTTGCTTCTTTGCTTTGCACTCTTCTCATCCCTTCTTTCCCATATATCATCTACATTACCTTTTTTCTTGCTTCCTTCCCCACTTCGTGCCATTTACACTGGGCATGCAAAGAGAATACAGACTATCTTTATACAGACAAAACAGAATACTGTAATATCTTCTAAAATATTTTAAGTGGAGTTTCTCCTAAATCCCACACCTTCATTAGTACTTTGAAAATCACCTAAATCCTAATTTCAGGAGTTTCCTGAAAAGCTAGAACTCATTTGAAACTATATAAAGTATATTCCAGATTGAGTTAAAACTATCATTTCATATACAATGTCCTATCATTAGTAGTCTGTTGAAAATTAAATGGGGAAACTAAGATTTTCAACAAGTCATGTGGCATGCATTTGTCACAATGGATAAAAAATACATAAAAAAAGAAGGTTGGGGTTGTGGCTCAGTGGTAGCACACTTGCCTAGCATGCGTGAGGTACTGGGTTCGATTCTCAGCACCACATACAAATAAATAAAATAAAGATCCATCAACAACTAAAAAATATTTTTAAAAGTACATAAAAGGAATTTTAAGTTTTATGTAGAATCAAGTGCCTAATAAAATGCCTGCTTTACAAAAAGTTTGAAGAATGGCATGATATAGTCAATAGAGCATTCTGATTAACACTATTTTCATTCAAAATTAAAATGCACTATGAATGCACTGTGGCATGTATATGAACTAAATTTTCAAAAAAATTTAAATTTTAGGAATGGGAAGATTTTATAATCTTCTATAAAGACAATCATTACAAATATCAATTTTTACTTGAGTTATACTGAAATACCAATATGAGATGATTTATTATCTAAATATATGAACAAACCAGCTTTACTATGGATTAATCCTGAATATTTTCATGGATTTGTACATATTTTAAAAAATCAAATTTTGAAAAAAGCTTTACCTTCATGTGGTATTTCAAAGGATCCAAAAGACTGAATTGAATATTGCACTTTGGACAAGATCTTAGGAAAGGTACTCCAGTTTTATTTTGAGTTGAGGTATTTGAACCTAAAATAGATTAAGGACTTTAATGACTCAAATTCATCTTTTTTTTAAACCTTAAATAACCACTAACATTATAAAATTCATCACAATTTCTAAAATTCTGTAAATAATACAATTTCTTTTTCATATGCCAGATTTCATACTTACCTGTTGTTGTTGATACCATAACCTGGGAAGATGCCTCTGAAGGGGAGTTATTTAAAGACAATGAAGATGAGGGATTTATTTCAGAAACACTTTCGCTGGCTTTTGGCTTTTTTGGATTAACACTGTTTACTTTAGAAGTAGAAGGACGTTTTAATCCAAAGGAAGATTGATCCATGTCTACAAAGATTTAAATAGTGGGAAAGATATTTATAAATACTTTAGTATAGACTATTACATAACATTACTACTAAAATAGCCTTATATTTAAAATCACATAAAAATTACCTTGGGGCTAAAGGTAATATAATTGAATTACCGTGTTATACAAATGACCAAAAAAAAAAAAAAAAAACCATGCTGATAATTTATATAAACAAAAGGTAGAAGCTGTTTCAAACAGCTTTTTTTTTTTTGGTGCTGGGGATTGAATCCAGGCCTTGTGCATGCAAGGCAAGCACTCTACCAACTGAGCAACAGTTCCAGCCCTGTATAAACAGCTTTTATGGACTATATATATGTAGCAAATTCATGAAATAAACTTTATGCAGGAAAATTCTAAAGTTACTTTCAAAAGAAATATTTAAACAGGTTATCAATGAAAGGAGTCAGGCCCAAAAATTCCTAGCCAAAAGAAAGAAAAATAAAAGCACAGAGAATCTCCACCCAGTACCACAAAAACAAAACAAAACAAAATCAAGTTCATATCCAATTTTCTCTAAGAACCTTCTATGATCATACTGGACACAAGTTCAATAATCATGCTTCCAAACAAATGCCACATACAATCATTCATAATTATCACTATAAAAAACAGTTTAAGTATTTAAAAACTTATGATGCAGTTTTCACTTATGTGGGCCTCAAAAAAAGCCATGAGATAAGCAATTTTCTCTCCAAATGGCTCATTTCAGATCTAGAGAATGAATGCATTGTGTGAGAAAAGTAACGTGAGAAAACTGAAATGTAAAGAGCTTAGGTGACCTGATAAAGGCAACAAATATCATTAGAAAAGAGGCTTAAATATATATATCTTCCTAGCCAACTATAACAGTGTTTATCATTCAGGGCAAAGTTCCACTCTCTGCAATATAATAACTTTTAAAGTAAGAATAGGAGTCACTATCTTTTTGTGGGGGGGAGGGGGATACTGAAGATTGATCCCAGGGACACTCAAGCACTGAGCCACATCCCCAGCCCTTTTTATTTCTTATTTGAGACAAGGTCTTGCTAAGTTTCTTAGGGTCTTGATAAAGTTGCTGAGGCTGGTCATTTTTTTTTTTTTTAATTTCTGAGGCTGGTCTTGAACTTGCTATCTTCTTGCCTCAGCCTCCTGAGCTGCTGGGATTACAGGCATGAGTCACTATTCCCAGCTAGAAGTCACTGTCTTTAACCACTAGAAATTTTAGAAATTCAGACTTATTCTATAAATAAACAATGGGCTTTGTAAATTCAGATTTAAGACAACTATTTTATCTCCCTATTTATTTTGGTTCATGGGTATTTAACTAGATACCTAGACAGGTGAACATCAAACAAGTATTAAAAAAATGGGAAAATACTTTGGGCACTAATATTACTATAAATTTTTAGTTTGGGTTTGATAAATGTTGTATACTAATTTGTTAGTAAAAAATTTTAACATAAAAAAAATTTTTGTGAGCTGGGTAGGGTGGCTCAGGCCTATAATCCCAGCTACTCAGTAGGAGGCTTAGGCTGAATATCCCAAGTTGGAGGCCAGGCTAAGCATTTTAATGAAACTGTCTCAAAATAAAAAAATAAAAGGGCTGGGGATATAGCTCAGTAGTAGAATGCCCCTGAATTTAATCACCAGTACTGAAAAAAAAATTGTCACTTTCTCCATTTAATGAAATATATCAATTTAGCTAATACAGAAATAGTAATTTCTTTGATTATAGAGCATTTTTCAGCTAGATAAAATTCCTTCACTGGCACAATTATTTATTTTGGTTAATGAAGAACTTCATTATGGCAGACAAAGAACTGTAATTATTATTCAATTAGAAAATTTTACTATTCCTTCAATGGGTATGTACTGAGTATGTATCATGTGCAAATCACTACTTCTTTAGTTCTGTCACTTTATAATACTACTCTATAATGATATTTAACTACAATATCTACACATCATTCATTTGAACAGAAAGATACTAGTCTAATAAGGAATCAACTATAACCATACATTTGTTCTCATACTAATGGACTTGCAAATAATTAATACTTTATTTTTAAAAATATTTAGAGCATTAGAGGACTTCTTGAACTCACAGAAATTGTACCAAGGTTTTTAAACCCGTTGCTGGTTCCATGTATAGAAAAAACTTCATTAAATATGGTTTTACATAAAATCACCCAAGAAAGGAATTCAGAAATTATTAGCTCTAGCCAGATGTGGTAGCAAACACTTGTAATCTCAGTGACTCAACAGGCTGAGGCAGGAAGATCACAAATTTAAGACCAGCCTCACACAATTTAATGAGGCCTTAAGCAACTTACTTGAGACTGTGTCTCAAAATAAAAAAAGGACTGGAAATGTGGATTAATGGTTAAGTACTCCTGGGTTTGATCCCCAGTACAAATCAAAAAAAAAAAAAAAAAAAAGAAGAAATGATTAGCTCTATTCTTAAAATACACACAAAAAATTAACAAAATGTATGGACTTCAAGATAGAATTTAATTCCCTATGTATATTCATCATGCCTCCTTCTGTAATTTTTATTAAAAAGTGCTAAACCAAACCTTCCAAAATTTTTTCAGTATACCTGGGGACAGTGGTGTTGTATCCTGGGTCGAGCCAAACAATAAGACTGAAGAATCATCTGATTCAACTTGTGACGAATTCTTTGAAAAATCCTGTAAAAAGTTATAGTTAAAATTTTGTTTCATAAGTTTTTATAATGGCAAATTTAATTGTGTGCCAAGATAATGAAGAAAACTTTATTGATTAAATTACTATAAACTATAAAACAAAAAGGTAATTACTAGTTTCTGCCAAAATTAACCCCTATTGGGTAAGGATATATGGGAACTCCTTGCATTATTTTTGTAATTTTTCTGGAAATTTAAAAATTAGCTTGAAACTAAAAGTTGAAATTTAAAAATAATAATATTATTGGCAAAGTGGAGGTTATATTTTTAGTTGTAGTTGGACACAATACCTTTATTTTATTTATTTACGTGGTGCTGAGGATCTAACCCAGAGCCTTCCATGTGCTAGGCAAGCACTCTACCGCTAAACCACGACCTCAGCCCAAAATGGAGGTTATATTTTGGTACAACTTTTCTTTCTTTCCCTTATATTCTATGCTTGTTTTTAAATTATTCTAAGAGACAATAAATAAATTTTCTTTTTTCTTTTTGGTACTGGGGATTGAACTCAGGGACACTCAACCACTGAGCAACATCCCCAGCCCTATTTGGTATTTTTATTTAGAGACAGGGTCTCACTGAGTTGCTTAGTGCCTTGCTTTTGCTAAGGCTGGCTTTGAACTCACAATCCTCCTGCCTCTGCCTCCCAAGCTACCGGGATTACAGGCATGTGCCACCACGCCTGGCTTGGTACAACTTTTCTCTAAGAAATTTTTAGCAGTATCTTTCAAGGGCTTTCATAAGTTCATATCCTTTAATCCAATTATTCCACTTCTAAGAATTTGTGATATGCAAAGGAAATGTTTAATGGAGAATTATTTAGAAGAGTAAGAAATAAAAGCTCATATCTGATAATGGAGAATGGTTAAATAAATTAAATGATAGACTATCATTCACCATCATGCTTTTGAGAAATCTTTCTCTTTTGACAAAGATGTTCTCAATACAGTGTTCAATGAAAAATGAGGAATAGGTTATCAAACCAATATTAATATGGCCCTGGTTATTATACTCTATATACCACACTAACCATGTACCAGAACAAAAGTCACACAACAGTATGTCTTCTTTGTTTTCTAACCCCTCCAATATACATTACTTTTATAATGGGAATATAAAGATTTCGCTTGCTTGTTTTGTGCTTAGAAGTTGAGATCAGTAGATTGTAAGAATTTTACTTTGCTACTGTTTTCTAATGATGTTAGTTTGTTAAGAAGATAAATATTAAGTGACCCAAACCATTCCATCTCTAGAATTTGAGGCATAACAGGCAGATTTCTGCATAAGCCTTTATATTTATTGTAGAAAAACAATAATGGTTATACTTAATTGTAATCAAGCACAATCTTACTGAAAGGTATTTTCTCTAAATAGTTGCACTTAAAAATGGAAAATATTCATTTCAATTTCCAAAAATAGTTATCTAACTGAAGTTCTCAAAATAAAGTTAATATTTTAAACTGTTTCTGAAATGACAAATATGATCAATTAAGTACCATAATTTCAGAGTACAGACACATTATTTGACAAATAACTTGTTAAAATAATTCTCTAATTAGAAATTTCTTATGTCTCATAATGATTCAAAAAGGTACCAGAAGAGGTGATATACTGGGATTTAGAAGACCTGTCTATTTACTTAAACTATATAACTTTGGAAAGTTCACTTCTGAGTTTCAAGTCATTTATCTTTTCAACAGAAATAATAGCCACCGATAATTTAAAATGCATTTGCCTTTTTTTTTCCTTTTCTTTCTTTTATTTTTCATTTTTGGAAGTACTGGGGTTTGAACCCAGAGGCACTGTACTATTGTGCTACATCCCCCAGCCCTTTTTATTTTGAGATAGGATCCCATTAAGTTTGCAGGGATTACAGGCATGCCTAAACCTCCCAAATTGCTGGGATTACAGGTGTGCACCACCATGCCCAGTTGTACTTGCTTTACTCATAGTACATGTATTATACTAAGTAGTTGTTACAATAATACTAATAAAGACCTTAAATAATCTCCTATTTTATAAATAGGTAAGCTCAGGCTTAGTGCAGTTAAATAAGGTTCTCAGTGCAACTCAGCTTATTGCTGATGCAGTAGATGGAATTAGAACCCAGGTCTGCCAAAATGCAAAGACTTTGCCCATAAGCTATAGTGCACAGACTCCAAAAGTGATTCTAATCTCTTTCCCTGCCTCATTGTTGGGGAAGAGAGAATTAAATAGTTCAAAAAATTAAATAAAACTCTTAATAGGATTCTCAATTTATTTGAGAATATGTATCTATCATTTTTCTTTCTTTCTCTCTCTGCACCAGGGATTGAACCCCAGGGTACTTAACCATTGAGCCATGTCCCCAGCCACATTTTTTTTTTTATTATTTTGAGAAAAGGATCTCACTAAGTTGCTTATGGGCTCACCAAGTTGCTGAGGCTGGTCTTCAACTCACATTCCTTTTGTCTCAGCCTCCTGAATCACTGGGCTTACGGTGTGTACTACCATGCCCAGCTGAATCTATATCATTCTTAACCCTGGCAGTACAATATAATCACCTGGAGAATTTTACAATGTCAACACAGTAAAAAAGGCAGGTTTCTTAGAGTCATGATAATAGCTTTAACCTCCTGGACACTTTAAAGAGTCTCAGAAACCTCAAGGTTCTGTGCACAACACCACTGCCTTAAGCAATGCTTTCATTTTTAAAAGAATATACTTAAATATACGTACAGATTGTGAATAGGCACATTTTTAAAACTCAGGGTTAACTTGGATCAAAATCCCATATCTAGTTCTGTGGCCTTGAGTGGATCATTTAGCCTCTCTGTGCCTCTTTCCTCAACCATAAAATGGGGACAATAGTGCCTACCTCATAGGAATGTTCTAAGAAAGATATATATATATAAAAGATATATATATATGATACATATATATTATATATACGGCAATATCACAAAGAACTGTGCATATTAACAGACCCCTAAATGGTATTACTTTACCTATTATGTTAAGTTTAAAAAACTGAAAAATGAAAGTATGTTCAGAATAAAAATCTTTGGAATAATTTTCTCAGTTAAGAATATCTGTTTACGATCTTAAGTTGATTTCACAGAAGTAGAAGAATAAGATCATTAGAGGCAGGGAAGGGTAGTGGGGAGAGGGAATAGTCACAGAGATTGGTATAAAAACACAATTAGGGGCTGGGATTGTGGCTCAGCACTAGAGCACTTGCCTAGCAAGGGCGGGACCTGGGTTCGATTCTCAGCACCACATAAAAAAAAATAAAGGCACTGGGTTGTGTCCATCTACCAAAAAGATTCATTCTCTCTCTCTCTCTCTCTCTAGCAACACATATACACATCTTTAAAAAAACATAATTAGTTAATAGGAATAAGTTCTGGTGTTTATAGCACAGTAAAATGACTATTAAATATTTCACTGTACATTTTAAAATAGTTAGAAGAAAGAATTTAAATGCTTCTTACACAAAGAAAGGATTAATGTTTAAGGAGACGGATGTTAATTGTTCTTATTTGATTACTTCATGTAGTATGCATGTACTGAAATATCACATATCTCCTAAATATGTACAACTATGTATCAATGAAATAATATATTTTTTGGTTCCGAGGATTGAACGCAGGGGTACTTGACTCCTAAGCCACATTCTCAGCCCTATTTTGTATTTTATTTAGAGACAGGGTCACACTAAGTTACTTAGCACCTCGAAGTTGCTGAGGCTGGCTTTGAACTTGTGATTCTCCTGTCTCAGCCTCCTCAGCCGCTGGGATCACAGGCATGTGCCACTGTGCCCAGCGAAATAATATTTTTTTAAAAAATTAAAATAAAGGGGTTGGGGTTGTGGCTCAGATGTAGCATATTAGAGGCACTGGGTTCAATCCTCAGCACCACATAAAAATAAATCAATAAAATAAAGGTATAGTGTCCAACTACAATAAAAAATTAAGTAAAATTGCCACAATACAATATTCATTACTAATTATACTTTTTAATGCATATTTCGATTGCATAGTTTTCAATACTATACCTATTTAAGCTACCTGATTTATTAACATGGTAGATAATTAGTTTTGTAGTTATTATTCTGGGTATTGGTTGAAGTATATCATAAAAGTGGTGACATTTTCTGAGGCAATTATACTTATAATGGAATGGTAACTAGCTATGAGAGTTCATAATTTTTACTTGGTATCTAGTATGTCTCTGAACCAATTGTGCATTTTCAGAAATACTTACAGGTTTAGATGTATTCTGAACAATAGCAGAGCTCTGTGAAGACTTAGATTCAGGATGAAATCTAGGCAAGGCAGTCACTGGATTTGATGCTGGGTCTTTGTAGTGTTGACTTGTAGACTTGAATAAACCAGGAATACCTATATGTAAAATTATACCATAGATTGAATATATTTCTACATAATCAATTCTGTCAAATTACTTTACTTTAATGTTAAAATAGTACATTAATACTGTACCTGAACTGAGTGAGTCATTTTTCATTCCCTTTGAAGATGAGCTGGAATTACCTCTGTTCAAAATATCTATAAAAATAATATTTATTTTAAAATTCATTATTTTAATGAAATAAATTAAAGTAATAAAATTTTTCCAAAAGTATATCCATATATAACCAATAACAGAAATATATTTCTTTCCCTTAATGGTGACAAGATTGTGACTAAATACAAGACCTTCCTCAATCTCTATGCCACGTTTACTTTGCTAAATGCCTAGAAGTTTCATTAGGGGTGAGCTGATTGGACTACTCAGCTCTTGATTACTCAGTACCATTACTCTTTTTTGTTTTGGTACCAGGGATTGAACCTAGGGCTGCTTAACCAATGAGCCACATCCTCATCTCTTTTTATTTCTTATTTTGAGAAGGGTCTCACTAAGTTGCTTAGGACCTCGCTATTGCTTAGGCTGACCTAGAATTTGTGATACCCCAGCATCAGCCTCCTGAGTCACTGATATTATAGGTATATACAGTACCATTACTCTTGAGTTCTAAATAAGAATTCTTTTTGGTACTGGGGATTGAACCCAAGGGTGTTTGACCAGTGAGCTACTGCCCCAGCCCTTTTAATTTTTTTTTTTAACTTTTTGAGACAGTGTCTCAATAAGTTGCTTAGGGCCTTGCTAAACACTTGCTAAACTGTTGAGTCTAGCCTTGAATTTGCAATCCTCCTGCCAAAGCCTATAGTCAGTGGGATTACAGGCATGTGCCACTGCACCCATGTGAATAGGAAATTTTCCTTTTTCATCTCCTAGTAGAAAAGAACCAAATCTATAACTAAAAAGAACAAAAAAAAATGTAGGAGGCAGGTTAGATTTGGCTGGCAGGCTGTAAACTGCAGGCCCTTGTTATAAGGATTAAAGACTATGTTCAATAGAATAGTAAAAATATTCATTCAAAAAAGAAAATAACTTAATCTCACAAAATAATTATACAAATTAAAGGGTCACACAAAGGGTTATTTTCTGATCACTAAAGAACTTTTCCAGAAAAATAGATTTGTTGATTCAAAAAACTTGGTATTGTTTTCATTCAGAAATTTCAAGATAAGTATTTACTCAAATCATTAAAGAGTTATTCCTGCTGGCCCAGTAGCACATGCCTGTAATCCCAGAGGCTTGGGGGGCTAAGACAGGAGTATTGCAAGTTTAAGGCCAGTCTCGGCAACTCAGGGAGATTCTGCCTCAAAATAAAAAATAAAAAGGGCTGGGTATGTAGCTTAGTGGCAAACTGTACATGGGGTAAATTCCTAGTATCCACTTCCTCAAAAGAGTTACCTCTACTTTTTCTGTGGTTGGGAGTCTACTGAACACAAACTTTTAGTACCTTCCTTCCTGCACTTTATGTACTTCTACATAAACATTTAGTTCATACTCCATTTGCTAAAAGTATTTTATGATTTATACATAAAACACCAATAAACTTATTTACATTTAAATTCTGAGTTAATAATTAAGAAAAAAATTCCACTGTTGTCCAATTCCTTTTTTGTTAGAATCATTTAAAATGAATAGACACTATTCTAGTTCAGTGCTATTAATAGTCGTCTACAATTGACTTGCTGTAAGATGGGTGTAGCCAGAAGGTACATACAGCACATGTAAGCACACAGAACAGAGACTGTATAATCTTGCAGTGCCTATACATTTTATAGCCATGAATCAAGATGATACTTTGATGAGCCAGTTGCCTATATGTGAGAATCACTATAACACACTAACACAAACTTATTCAGTATAATTTGATATTTTAAGCAAAGCATTCCAAATACTTCATTTTCTGTACATCTGGGCTGAAGGGAGAAAAAGAAAAAATCCAGACTACTTGGCTCCATTAATAATTAGCATTTCCCACTTAAAGAGAATGAAGAGACAGCCTATAGAATGGGAGAAAATCTTTGCCAGCTACTCTTCTGACATAGAATTAATATCCAGAATATATAAATAACTCAAAAAATTACCTCCAATAAGAGTCCACAAATAACCCAATCAATAAACGGAGCAAATAAACTAAACAGACACTTCTCAAAAGAATAAACATAAATGGCCAAGAAATATATTAAAAAGTGTTCAATATCACTAGCAATCAGGGGAATGCAAATCAAAACTACACTGAAATTTTATCTCGCTCCAGTCAGAATGGCAGTCACCAAGAATACAAATAATAACAAATGCTGGCAATGATATGGGAGAAAGAATACTTAAGACACTTGTGTGATTGTAAATTAGTATAGCCATTATGAAAATCAGTACGGAGGTTCCTAAAAAGATAAGAAATGGAATCACCTAGTGATAGGAATGACCCAGCTATACCTCTTCATATTTATCCAAAAAATTAAAGTCAGCATGCTATAGTAATACATTCATACTCATGTTTACAACAGCAGCACAATTCACAAAAGCCAAGTTACAAAACCAATCTAGATATCCAATAACAATTGAATGGATACAGTGGATATACTATAGAATTTTTTTTCGGCCATTAAAGAACATTATGTCATTTTCAGGAAAATGGATAGAGCTTTTAAAAAAATTTTAATAGTTGTAGATGGCCATCATGCCTTTATTTATTTTTTATGTAGTGCTGAGGATCAAACCCAGTACCTCACACATGCTAGGCAAGTGCTCTGTCACTGAGCTACAGTCCTACTCCAAGCTTGACAGCACTGTGCTAAGCAACATAAACCACACTCAAAGCCAAGGGTCAAATATCTTCTCATATGTGGAAGCTAGAGAGAAAAAAAGGAAAAAAAAAACAGGGGTGGAAGAGAGGAATCTCATGAAAATAGAGGGAGACAAGCAAAGTAGAGGAAGGGTACCAGGAGTACTGTGGGGGTGTGTGCTGGTGAATAAAACTGACTAAATTATATTAGTGAATAATGAATCCCACTATAATAATTATAATGTATCCATAAATAGTAGGAATTCTAATCTTAAAAGGCCTATAATGTTGTCAAGTGATTTTAATCCTTAGTTAATTATTTTTTTTCTCACATATGATATTTTAACCTCTCACCTCCTACTCCCATCCCAACCACATCCCCATCAGGATTATTACAAGTTCTAACTAACCTTTACCCTTATTCTCATCTCCAGTTCCAATAAAAGAACATGTAAATCAAGTACATTAACGCAACCAAAGGTTTTTCCACTTGAAACAACAGACATTTTTTATGAAATTTCACTGAAGTAAATACTTACTTGAAATGGCTGGTTTTGAACTTGATATCTCTCCAACAAAGATCAGCTCATCATCATCATCTTCATTCCGAGCTTCTTCTACTTTCTTTTGCCATGGTTCCAGCTCTTCTTCTTCACATTCCATGAAGAGTTCTGCCATTTTTGAATTATCTAATTTTCAAGCAGAGAGAAACAACTCTTATTTTCAAAAAGAAAAATACTTGGTTTTGCAATATGAAACATACTATGTAAGATATATATATATAATATATATATATATATTATATATATATAGCAATTACTAGATTGATATTTGTAATTAGTACGTGGTAGCAAAAATAAAACTCAGAACTCAATATGTAAGATCTAAATTAGTAAAAAAAAAACTTGGCTAGGTCAATAGATGATAGAGAACAGTAGCCAATAAATTTTAAAATCAAATCCAAAGTGAGTTTGTTATATGACTAGGATACGATAATATCTACAAAAAGGATTATACCTAATCATTATCTGAAAAAAAAAATCCACCTATATTAACAAAAGGGAGATAAACTAAAAATATGAAGCAATAGGTAGGAAATACACTGATACAGATTCATGAATACTAAGCACAGAGCAAAGCAGGGATAAGACCCTAGACTGAAAATAAGGACATTAAATGAAGTCTATTCCATACTAAGACACATTAGACATTTCTCACTGGAAGAAATTAAGCAAATAACATACTGTGAATACCATCAGGCTGTAAGTTCTGACTAAGCACACAGAGGTCTTAGGAAGAATTTTAGTGTTCACTCATAAATATGGTTATGGGCTGGGAGTGGTGGTGCATGATCAGGAGGCTGAGGCAGGAGGATCACAAGTTGAAGGCCAGCCTCAGCAACTTATCGAGGCCCTAAGTAACTAAGTGAGACCCTGTTTCTAAATAAAATATAGTAAAGGGCTGTGGATGTGTCTCAGTGGTTAAACACCCCTGGATTCACTCCCTAGTACCAAATAATACACACACTCTCACACACACACACACTGCCAATGAGCACCAGAAATGTGAAGAAAACCTACTATGTGAAAGACCCAAGCAACAAACCACATGAAAAGATCTTAAAGAAAATAGAGATAATACAATGGAGAAAACAGTAAAGAGAATATAATTAGCATCTTTAGAAAAATTATAATAAACAATTAAATCCAGGAAAAGATTAAAAATAACACAGCAAAATCCATTACAAAAAACCCAAATGCCAAAGTTGAGTAAATGTGGAACTGAAAACAAAATATACAAATACATTAAATAGAAAAGCCAAGATTGTTATAAAATTAATTTCAAATGTACAACATTCATCTAATAAAAATTTCACCAAAAGAACAGAGAGAAAGGAGAGGGGAAGAAATCAAAGAAAAATACAAGAAAAATTCCCAGTTCTAAAGAATAAAGGGCTCACCATCAAGCAGCAAAAAGATCAAGAAAAAAATACTCTGAGGGACGTATGAAATTTCAGAATGATGGAAATAAAAGCATATCCTAAAACTGGGGTGGAAGGAGAATAAAGTTAAAATAATGGTTTTAAATACCATGGCAAAATACTTTTCTAAACTTAATCTTTTCATCAAGCATGAGATAGATATTCATTTATCAAGAATAAAGACCAGCAACATCAAAAAAATTATTTACCATTCTCTCCTCTTCAGGAAGAATCCACCAATATATGAGATTTAAGAAGAAGGAAAATGAAGTATGCAAAAAATTACATTCAACACAATAAAAAAATAAAGGAAAGTCCTGGGAAAATAGTTGGTTTGTTTGTTTTTCAGTGCTGGAGGTAAAACTCAGGACCTTAAGCAGGTTAGGCAAGTGCTCTGCCATTGAGCCATATCCTGGTACAATCAGGACAATAGTTGTTCAGTACTGAGCAACCACTCACAGTAAATAAAGCAGAACATTATTTCAAGAAGGTTTGACAATCTTTCGTGCAAAAAGATTAAATATTAAATTGTTAGATTATCTGACAAGTTTTACCATGTAGAAAATCTAGTTAAAAGGCTATGGAAGGGTGTAGAAAAAGACTTTGCTATAGAGTTTAACAAAAATTTAAAGGCTAAAAATATTTAATTGCAGGATATGAAAAAAAGAGAAAAGAAAATGTATCCAAAACATATTGATACCATGGTACTATGCTCATCAGTGAACAATATTTATTATGGTCATCATAATAAAAACACTGAATATGATTTAACTAAAAATTTAGATATGAGAAATGGTTGGAGAGAAGGCTAAAGTGTAAGAAACATGAAATTCTCACTTTCCTTTACAGAAAATCACTAGATAATGGCAAATATGTGATTTAAAAAGACAGTTTTATATGTGTATGTGATTTAAAAACTGAGAAATATGAAAATAACTATTGGAAGAATAGCTAAACAATTGAAAGTAGATGTCTTAAGGGGGAAAAGGGTGGTGTGTGTGGGAGTACACACATGAATACACATACCTATCTCTACCCATACTTTCTTCAAGAAATTGTGGTAATGGCCAGGCACAGTGGCACAGACCTATAATCCCACCTACTCAGGAAGATGAGGCAGGAGGATTGCAAGTTTCAGTCCAGCCTCAGCAACTAGCTGAGACCCTATCTCAAAAAGTAAAAAGGGGTGGAGATACAGTGCATGTGCACACACATACACACACAAATACACACATAGACACACACACACACACACAAACTGTAGTGACACAACTTAAAGCCTTTTCATATTGTATGACTTACAAAAATGGTGCATACTGTTATGGCTTAAAAAGTATTGAAGGAAACCTAAACTAAAATAATAACAATGGGCATGTATATATGTGATTTAGTGAGAAATGGATGGGGGAAACAACTAATAAAATAAAACAACTTCAGGAGTCTGGCTTATTCAAGGATATATTTATCTTTTAAATGTCATAATTTGTAAAGGTAATAAATAACATTAAAATTATGTCATTTTAACTTTTGTTCCAAAATTAAGACTTTTAAGGTCATGCTTTTAAAGTCATTTATAAGCAATGATTTGGGAATAGCAACACACACACACACACAGAAAAAATCTTAACAAACTGGTGCTATCTTTTTTTTTAATTTAATTTTGTTTTATTTTAATTTCCCCTTCAATTCAGGTATTTCACAAAGTACTTGTGTGCATGTGCTTTCACACATGCTCTCTCCCTCTCTCTCCTGTGGTCAGTGGGCTAGAACCCTGGGCTTTAAAGACGTTAAAAAGCAATTGCTCTTACCATTGGGTTATACCACCAGCCCACAAATCTTTTTTTTTTTTTTTTTTTTTTTTGTGTGTGTGTGTGTGTGTGTGTGTGGTACTAGGGATTGAACCCAGGGGTGCTTCAGCATTAAGCTATATCCTCTGTCCCTTTCACTTTTTTGAGACAAGGTCTCGGCTAATTGGTGAGGCTGGCCTCAAACTTGTAATCCTCTTGCCTCAGCCTCTTGCATAGCTGAAATTACAGGCATGCACCACTGTGCTTGGTCTTAATCCACAAATCATTTCTTAACATAAAATTGCTTAATGCTTAGTATTTCATCTACCCCCTTAAAAGAAAATCACCATCCTAGCTTCTCAAATATTATGAACTGACCCCTACTTTTCCAAATGATACCTCAAAACATTATATACAATGTTCTAAGTTAAATAATTAAAAGCATAATTAATGGTTTAGCACTTATATACTCTGAATATTTGAAAATACCACCCTCATTATGTTCCTTGGAGCTCTCATTCCTATTTCATCTACCTAGAATATCCTTTCTCCTCACATTATACTGTCCACATCATTCAAGTACAGTGGAAAGAGCATGTACTTGACATAAAACTGAACATAGTAGTTCCCTCTTATCCACAATTTTACTTTCCATAGTTTCAGTTACCTGCAGTCAACCATGGTGTGAAAATACCAATGGAAAATTCCAGAAATAAACAATTTGTAAGTTTTAAATTGCAATCTGTTCTAAGGAATATAATAAATTCTTGCACTTTTCTGTTCTTTCTAGAATGTAAATCCATCCCTTTGTTTAATTTATTTACAACTATATATACTATCTGCCTATACTTACTTAGTAGCCACCTTGGTTATCAGTGGTAACACAATAGTTGTGTTCAAGTAACTCTTATTTTACTTAATAATGGCCCCCAAGCACAAGAGTAATAATGCTGGTGATTTGGATATGCCAAAAATAACCTGGAAATTGCTCCAAGTGAAATTTATTGATTTAACAATGAAAGAAAAATTGGTACACCAAAGTTGCAAAGATCTATGGTAAGAACAAATTTTCAATCTGTGAAATTATGAACAAGAAAAAAGAAATGTGTGCTAATTTCACTGTTGCAACTCAAAATGCAAAAGTTATAGCCACAGTGCATTATAAGTGCTTAAAGATGGAAAAGGCACTAAGTTATAGGGTTTGGTACAATTTGGCTTCAGGCATCAGCTGGGGGTCTTGGAACATATCCCCCAGAAAATAGGTGACCACTATAACATAAATCTTCACTGTACTACTTCTAGTCATGTGAATCTGGAGAAACTGCTTGAGCCTCTTTCTCCTTACTTCTAATATGCCTACAATATCTAAAAGAAATGGTAAGAGAGATTCAGGAAAATGCCACATGAAATACCTAAGATACTCAAAAAATATTAATCCCCTGCCATTTCAGTTCAATTATAATTTGCTCAAAAAACCCATTAGACCTATTTTTCTTCCACCTCTTACTATACCGACGATCTACGTCATGCAATTCAAGGTTTAGTACGTATGATTTCAAATTTCTCACTGTTTTTAAATATGTTGTAAATGTACATGTTCAACTAAAATAAGCTCCTTCAGAGTAAAGAACACATTTTGTACCTTTGCACTTCCTCCAATATTCAGTAGTCTATTGGATATGTACCAAGCCCTTTATCTACAGGCTAAGAAACTTGGTAAACTCAGGCAAAACCAAATGTGAAGAAATGAGGGAGACTCATATATACTGATAATTTTTAAAAATCATTTATACTCATTGATATTATAGTGATACCATGTGGACACAAAGGTTTTTCCTCATTCTTTTAAATTAGGTGCTGCCCTTGTCAATATAGTCAAGATGTACCGTTAAGAAGTTTAGAAGTTACATAATAGCAAGTACAGTATGATCTTATTTAGAAATTTATTTTTTGTCTATAATTTATTTTTTGTGGTTTATGTACACCAAACCTGTAAGTTATCTCTGGGGATAAGGAGGAAACATTTCATTTCTACTTTACTTTCATTTTTATTGCATAGTATTCATTTTGACTATTAATATGTATTACTTTAATACATTTAACTATTTTTATTTTTAACAAAATATGCCCACTTATCTCTCAACTTTACTCCTTAAGAAAGGTTTCCAATACAAAAGTCATGCATACTAGTATCAACTGCAGCAGCAATACTTACTTTTTTGTTGAAAAGAGTTGTCGTCATCCATCAAGTTGCAGAGTCACCTAAGAACAAACACATGACATCAATCAATTTTATGAGTCACTTTAAGTAACACTAAATACTGAAATATGAGACTTGATTCAGAAATCTTTGGGTCTAATTTCAACCTCCAGCAAACTCATGTGACACCAGGCAAGGTAGCAAGTTAGGTCTCAGTTTTCCACCCTAAAAAATAGAGACCTACTATTAGAGTGGATTTTGCTTAATTAAATGTACACGTACCTAATCTTTTTCTCCCATAAAAGCTTACCTTTAGAATTTGGTTATGTTTAATATACACATGTAACTCACTTTGTATAATTGATTCATTCATGAATGAATGCAAATTTATTGAATAAAATGCTGAATGTTTTATTAAATTACAAATAAATTTTAGACAACTTTATATAAAAATGAATAATTATGCTGTAATATGTGTTTTGTAAATCTGAATTTTGAAATGCTAAGTGACATTTATATTTAACTGCTATCTCTTCTTCACATTTCAGGGAAAATGCTATTGTTACTAAAAAAACCCCACATATTTATATAAGTTTTCATTTTATATAATTTTTTTACTTCTTGTTAATTCTTACTGAAAATAACAGAAAATTAGTTGGCTACATTTCACCATAGATTAATTCATTTAATAAAACTACTCATTGCCTTCTGTGCTCAGTGTAATGTGTTAAGTTCCAGGAAAACAACCAAGAAGAATGAGTCATAGTTCTAGGGAAAAAACAGATGAATAAGTCACAGTCCTTTTTTTCAGAAGTTTACAATCTGTCTAGAATTATTTGGGCTTTTTTGTTTTCAGTGCTGAGGATCAAACCTAGGCCCTTACACATGCCAGGCAAGCACTCTGCCACTAAGCTACACCCCCAGTCTTATTTGGATTTTTAAAACAGCTATTACATTAAACACCAAAAACATTTGAATTGGTTTATTTAAAGTAAGAATTTTATTTTGAGTTGTATTCTGAATTCTCATACACATATCATATATTCTACATACAAACTATTCTTTTTTTTTTAAAAAAAGCTTTCATTTACAAAACGGAAAACATCAAAACTAGGCATCAGAAATCTAAAGTAGCAAAATAAACAGAGCTAATTCAGTCTTTACATTTGTCTTTATCCTCAGATTTGCAAAAGTATACTTTCCCTAATTCCAAATTACTTGGCCTAAATCACAAGAAAAAGATATTACTCTAACTCTAGAAAAAGTTACTGGCATAAATATCTGAATTTCTACTCTAAGAGTGAATTTTGTCCTTTAATAAATTTCCTTACTTCTGAGGCCTATTTAGTCTCTAACTCAACTATTTCATTAGTTCTTGTCTCTAAACTAGAATTAAAATAATACCTGTCAATTAGATAAATATATGACAATTCTTGCTTAACATTAAAGAAGGACACAGCATGTATTTTAAGGGTCATAAGTGCACAGTCTGCAAGACTCAAATAACATTTTTATTAAATTATCATAAATATGTATTAGTATAAATACCCTAAAATTAATACTAAATGCGTAAATAGTGTTTATGAATAAGTCATATGCACTGCATGTGGCTACAGAGATGTCTTGAGGCCCACAGCAGCCACCAGGGAGCCTCAATTGGTACATTCATAAATATTTTAAAAAGTCAGAAATCCTCAGATGCTATTTGAACCATAACTTCATTTTTTAAAATATTTTTTATTTATTTATTTTTTTAGTTATCGGTGGACACAACATCTTTGTTTGGTATGTGGTGCTGGGGATCGAACCTGGGCCGCACACATGCCCGGCGAGCGTGCTACCGCTTGAGCCACATCCCCAGCCCCATGAACCATAACTTCATTTTAAAGTTGTGTTATCCAATGAGGTAGCCACTAGGCACACGTGGTTACTTAAATTTAAATTAATTAAAATAAAAAATTCAGCTCTGTAATTACTCTAGCCGCATTTCAATTGCTCAAAAGCCACAAGCAGCTAACTAGTGGCTACTGTATTGGATAGTGCAGCCACAGAACATTTCCATCAGACAACACAAGTCTAAAGGATCACTGCCATATTTAGTTCCAGTTTAAAAAAATAAACAAAAAAATTTCATAGATTCCTTTGGGGAAGAATTGGAGGCCATAAAAACCTCTCAAGTAATCACTTTAGAGTTGTAGTGGCAAGGCAAAAAACAATATGGGGGATTAAGTCAGCTGTTAGAGAAATGGAATTTTCAGCAAAAATATGCAGTGGGGATCTTAGAGCTCCAATAATAGCAACTCCAGAGGGTCTCTACATTTGCAACTAAGAGTTCTCAAAAAGAAGGAAAGAACTTTCCATTTCAGCTACTGATTCAGGTAAATTAATATACCCATGTTTAATATATTTTTCTTATGGAGATAAAATGAATTCCAAGTAATGATATACCTCTTGAACACAACCCATTCATTTTTGGGGGGTATTCTGTATAATTATAATATTTAGTTTTTGGTTTTTGCTTCAGTTTTTTTTTTTTTTTTTTTGTACTGGAGATTGAACCCAGGGGCTCTTTACTACTGAGCTACATCCCCAGCCCGTTTTATGTTTTATTTAGAGACAGGGCTAGGGACAGGGCCTCACTACTGTGCTGAGGCTGGCTTTGAGCTTGTGATCCTCCTGCCTAAGCCTCCTGAGTCACTTGGATTACAAGCTGCTTTGCTTTTTATACATGTAAAATGTAACCATATTTTAAATTTTTTTAAATTATGGATTAACATAATTCAAAAATTTTAAAAATTAAGAGGTATCACCTCATACTCTCTGGGATGGCTGTAATCAAAAGACAGATAATGACAAGCATTGAAAAGAATGTAATAAAATTGGAACTCTCATACACTGCTGGCAGAAATGTGAACTAGTACAGCTACTATGGGAAACAGACAGTTAAACACATAGATATAAGACCAAATAATACCACTCTTAGATTGACAAATAGATAAAATATGATACATCTACACAATGGAATAATATTTAGGAATAAAAAGGAATGACACATTGACACATGTACAATATGTATGAATGTTGAGAACATTAGACTAGCTGAACAAAGCCAGTCAAACAAACCAGATATTATATGATTTCATTTATAATGAAATGTCCAGAAATGTTAAATCCACAGAGACAGAGTAGAGTAGTGGCTACCAAGGTCTAATTGGTACAGGGTTTCTTTCTAGAGTGATGAAAATGTTCTAAAGTTGATTGTGGTGATGCTTATAGAACTTTGTATGAAAACCACTGAGTTGTACACTTTAAATGGGCAAATTGTATGTCATATAAATTATATTTAAATAAGGGTATTAAAAATAATAAGATAGTAGCAGTTAAGACTAGGAGTATTGGAGTCACTCTGCACAGAAAGAGTACTTAAGAAGCCAACAAAGAGAATAGTAAAGCTGTAAGATTTGGGGGCAGAGAAAGCAAAGAGGTAAGATATGGAGAGATTTAAGTCCTAATAACATTTAAACACCTGAAGCTAGTCATATTGGAAGCAAATTATCAACTAAGGGGTTTCAGTTAAGAGAGGAAAAAAACTAATCATTTTCAGTTTACTTCACTTCAAACTAGATTTCAGCATTTTTATTCAAGAGTAAAAAATACATTTACCAACTGTTTATCCCAACATTTTTTAAACCAAGGTCAACAGATCACTGGGGAAAAGATATACTCCAGATGGTACAAAAGAACTCTACTAACAATATAATTGTTTTTGTTTTGCTGTATATCTAAAAAATTAACATAAACGTTCCCTGGGATCATCCAGATGACCACCTTATAACTAAGCCTGACCACAGAATATTAGTACTGATGTTTTTATCTGTATTTACTACTGCATTGTCACTGAGTATTATTACTTTTATTGGTATGGCAATAATAAAATAACAAAGGGACAGAATATCTAAATGTTGTATCTTCACTAAAAGAGCAAATTACAGTTATCTTTAGCTACAGAAATGAAGGTATTGAAATGGTTGAAATAGGAAAATCTTGCTCTTCATGATATAGATATGAAAAAAAATCAATATAAATAGGCAGTAACTTTATTTTAGCAAAATATATTATTCATTCAATACATTAAAACTGATTCAAATATCATTGATTTTGTAGTTTCAAGTGCTTATTTTGTTTTATCGTTGTGTAAGAACTCTGGGAATATTTTAAACATTTTCAGTATGGGGTGCCTGTAAAAATGTTCTTACAATAGTAATTAACTAGTACATTACTCAAAACCAAGACATATTGGTTTATTCCTTGGTTCCTTGGAGAATTTCACTGGCATCTAAACAATTCAAACTTCCAAACCAGGTTTTGGGAACAAATCACATACAATTCAAGAAGGATATATTCTCAAGAAGTTTTTATATTGAGCAAAATATTCCAGATACATTTTGAGAAGGTATTTCTTTAATAATTTTGCTGTTTTTTTTCCTAATTTATTTGTGTTTTCAATTTTGTCTTGATTTTTCATACTTTGTCTATTTAAGAAAATAGCTAGTTTAAATTAGAATTTAAAATTCACTAGCATAATATTTTGTGAAGTTGGCCTATATTTTAAAACATTTTCTTTTATATTAGTTTTTGGGATAGAGCACTATAATAAAATTTACTTTCTGCAAAATAATGTTTATATTATATTCTGGCTAAGGTCTAGCTACAGGAATGTAATTTTGGAGCAATTCACATGTAAAAGACATAACCTGGGGAAAAGACTGATGCACTATTATTGGCCTCTCAAAAGCAATCTATATAATAAATATTTTACATAATTTAATAACATACTCTATAATCATTAATTCCTAAAATAATACATGAAGCATGTATTATTAATTCATATCTTATAGGAGTAAAAATTACAGGGAAAGTGTAAATTAAGTGCACTGAGCACAGGGCTTAAAAACCTCAATGGGAATTTTGGGTCTACCACTTTATGGCTGCCAAATCTAGGAAGCTTAATTAACTTTTTGAGACCTAGTTTCTCTATCTGTAAAATAAAAACAGGAGTACCTTCCTTGCAGTACAACTATGAATAATTTAAAGCATACGAGATAATTCTTGCAAAGTACTTTGAATTATTTTGCTTCATAATTCTTTATCTGAAGTTATAGCACAAGTGGAGTATACGCACTAAATATTAAAATTCAGCTGGGCAACGTGGTACATGCTTATAATCCCAGCACTTCTTTCAAGGCTGAGGCAGGAGAATCACAAGTTCGAGGATAGCCTAAGCAACTTAACAAGATCCTTAGCAATTTAGCAAGACCTTGTTTCAAAATAAAAAATAAAAAGAATTAAAAAAAGCTCTCTGGGTTCAATTCCCAGTTATCAAAAGAAAAAAGAAAGAAAATACCGTCACAGATAATTATGTTTATGTAGATTATATCTGATATTTAATAAAAAGTCTACTGTAAGTTTATATAAATACTTTTATTGAAATATTTCTTTTTAAATTTTAGTTGTAGATGGACAAATACCTTTGTTTATTTATTTTATGTGATGTTGAGGATCAAACCCAGTGTCTCACATGTGTGAGGCTAGTGCTCTACTGCTGAGCCACAACCCAGCCCCTAATGAAAATATTTTTAAAACAAAAAATATAGTTAGAAAAATGGCATTTACATTTTTGCCAATGTCTTTAACACTTGTCTTAAAAGAAAACTAGAAGTATTTCTAAATTCTTTTTTCTTTGGTACTGGGGATTGAACCCAGGGGCATTTAACCATTGAGTCACATCCCCAGCCCTTTTTAATATTTTATTTTAGAGACAAAATATTAGGGTCTCATTGAGTTACTTAGGGCCTCACTAAGTTGCTGAGGCTGGCTTTCAACTTGCAATCCTCCTGCCTCAGCCTCCTGAGCAGCTGGTATTCAAGGCATGCACCACCACTGCACCAGGCTCTAAATTCTTAAGTATCTAAAAAGTTGTTTTCATTATTCCTTCATTTTTAAATGTAAATTATTAGTAAATGACTTAAAAACATAAAAAATAAAATTATAATGGTCCATTGGACCCAGTTGGTACATAGTGATGACTATTTGTATGGATATACTGAAGGTGAAACACTCTTTAAAAGAAAACAACTTTGCAGAGAATGAATTTTTAAAAGTCTGGACACATTTTATTCAAATTACTGAGAAAATCAAGTCTTTATGAATCATTACTTAAAACAACCTGACTAAAAACCAAATATTAAGTTCCTCTCCAAAGTAGGAAGACAGAAAAAGTATTCAGGGCTATATGTCTAATTAGTGAATATAAACAATAAATATTTCTGGTCTTTGAAAAGTTACTTTTGAGTAATGAAATATTTTCAATATAAATTTTCAATATCCTATCTATCACTTTTTAAAGCTATAGAATACTTTCTATTTACAAAAAAATGTTATTCGATTTAGGATTTCCTCTTCCCAATTAGTATAACAGCAACAAAAAATTCTTGGTGGGCTGGGGTCGTAGCTCAGTGGTATAGCGCTTGCCTAGCATGCACAGGCTCTGGTTTCTCAGCACCACACACACACACACACAAAATTTTGGAATGGTTCTAAATGTCCTCCTGAAAAAAAGAAAACAAAACAAGTGGGAGGGAAGGAGGGTATGGAATTATAAAGCCCTTGGTCTTACCTTTCTCTTTCCTTCTAAAAAAGACAACGGTGCAGAGTAAAACGCTGGACTGAAAAATCAAGACTGGACTAGAAAATTTAACTGGAAGAAATAAATTAAACAGAAAAAGCTGAGATTTGGAGTTCTTCAATATCAGAACTTTTTCAATAGGTTATTTTTCAACATGTTTGGAAATAATATTGAAATACTAAAAGGCTGAAAACATGGCATCTTAGAAATATAAATATAAAGGAGAAGGGAATTGAAATTGAATAATATTTTGTAGAATTTTTAAGGGGAACCTTCTCGCTTACTCTCCACCCTGCCCCCCACTCCCATAGAGCAGGGCATAATTTAGTGAACTGAGCATTGGATGAGGGTCAGAGACCACTGCTCAAGAATTAGTTCTGCTTCCAAACCACATAAACCTGCTCAATTCCTCTCCTTGAGGCTATTTTCTCACCTTCAAAATAGTTCTATTGGGGCTGGGGTGTGGCTCAGTGGCAGAGCCCGCTGGAGGCACTGGTTTGATCCTCAGCACCACATAAAAAAATAAATAAACAAAATAAAGATACTATATCCATGTATAACTAAAAAAATTTTTTTAAAATAGTTCTATTGCCAGGTGTGGTGACCACACACCTGTAATCCTAGTGACTCAGAAGCCTGAGGCAGAAGGATCTCAATTTCAAGAACAGCCTGGGCAACTTAGAAAGATCCTGTCTCAAAAAAAGGGGGGGGGCAGGGATGAAGCTCAGTGGTAGTGTCCTTGGGCTGAACCCCCAGTATCACAAAAACAAAAACAAAACACCCAGAACCAACCAACTAAAAAACAACAGTTCCATCAACACCCCACCTCAAAAAGGGCTTCAATGAAATATACAAATATAATATAATAGAATTTGTACTGATAAGCAAACCTTGCTAGGCTGGGGATACAGCTTGGTAGGTCTGCCTTGCAAGCATAAGGCCCTGGGTTCAATCCCCAGCACCACAAAACATAAAAAAAAATAAAAAATAAAAAATAAAGCAAACCCTGCCTTCATAGGCTCAGTGTAGTTTCTGCTTGAGTCACAATTTGCACTGCAGCCCCAAAGCAGGACACCTCACAAATGCTAAGAGGATATTTTTGTAATTTAAAATCCCATTTCTAGGCTTTAAATTTATGTTTAATGACACTAAAAGATTTAAAAACTCCTAGTCCAAACCCTGAAACAATAAAGCCAAGAATTTATTTTCACAGATTAAAATCTATGTACAAAACAAATATTTTCAAACAAAGAAAATTCCATGGATGAAGGTCTCCCATGCTTGTAGAAACTGCTTCACTTGACAATGTCCTCAAATTTCTCCTTAAAAAAGCATAAAAAGTTTAGTTAAGTTAATAGGAACTCCCTCCTCTTTATAGGTTTGTGAAGAAAACCTCGGAATGGGATAATTTTTTCCATCTCATTATGAAAAACCTGCACAGCTCACTGTTAGAAAACCGTGTAACTCCACGTTTCTCCTCCGGGCTCGTATCCTCTAGACAATAACGGGATGGAGCACGATTTCTATGACAGAGGAAAGGCAGCCCCTCCGGCAAGAACAAGGGTGTGAGCCTGGAATTACTGGTAACCTGGGTCTAGAGGAGGGAGATCCTAGGCAGTACGAAGGAGCCCTGATGCCTGAAAGTTCAGATGCCCCCTAGTATTTCCCACCATTGAACAGACTGGGGGGTGGGCGGGTCTCCGCCAAACCTTGGCATCAATCGTACAAAAGACCAAAGGGAGTTGTCTCCAGTAAGAAAAGCCAAAAGCAAGCTGGGGATGGAGAAACTCACAGGCCTCTGGTGGTGAGGGGGTGGCGACTGTGGCCCGCGCGGCCCTGTTCCAGTAGACAGCTGCCCGCGAGACCGCGACCCGCCTTGGGCGGCCAAACCTCGCCGCGGAACAGCTATCTTTCCAAGATCCCTCCCCCTCTAAGGCCGACGCAAAATGGTGGCCCACCCGCCGTCGCGCCGCCAAGCCCATCCCCTCCCCCGCCACCTAATCAATACCGGATACCCGCACCGCACCACGACCCTCAGCCCGCTGCCCTCAGAGCTGGGCAGCCACGGCTGCCCTCAAAGACACACCAGAGAGCCGCTGCCTCAGGGCACAGGCGGGGGCGGGGGCCGCTTACCTAGAGCAGTGCAGATCGGCCTGACTGGGGCTCAGAGGAGGAGGAGAAAGAGGAGGAGGAAAGGGAGGAGCGCGAAAATACTAGGCGACCGCCACACCAACAACGGATGCCCCTGAGATTTTCAGCGCGCAATGAGCGCCCCAGCGAGTGCAGAGCATATAACGAAGCGCGCTGCCTCATGGGTAGAACCCGCTCCGCCTCTGCACATCCGGGTACCTCTTCTAACGGTCCCTGGATGGCGGGTGCAAACATGTGCACCGCTTTACACACCCTCGAAGGCAACTGTGCAGGAGCCAAGAGCTGTAGGTTGTGGACCTTGGGCAAGGGGAGGAACTAACAGGGATATCAATCTCCCCAATGAACCTGCCCTGCCCTTCAACCTAGGATTGCAGTCTAAAATTAGGGCTGCATATAGTCTCTGATCACAGGGAAATGCAAATTCTGATTCCTCCTTGTGTTGTGAATGCTAGAGGAAATCAGTTTTAAAATCTGTATTTGACGCATCCCTCATCTTTTACCAAAGAAATGTAAGTCATTTAATTGGTAAATTTCACCAAGTTTGTTTTAAATATGTTTTTGCTTGACTCTGTTATTTTTAAAAATTCTTATCTATTTTATTCATTTTAGTTGTTGATGGACCTTTATTTTTTTTATTTACATGTGGTGCTGAGAATTGAACCCAGTGCCTTACTCATTAGAGACAAGTGCTCTACCACTGAGCCACATCCCCAGCCCCTGTTATTCTTAATTCTGTCATAAAGGTGCCTATAATGATTACAGAAAGGTTAAGAAAAAAAATATATTTACCAGATAAACACTTGCTAAAATACTGCTTGCACATTTTCCCTCCTCTCTTTTTTTTCTTTTTTGCTTGTTGTTTTTGTCCCTCCCCCACCCCCTTTTTTGTTTGTTTTTTCATCTTTTTGGTTGGTTGTTTTGGGCAGCAGGGATTGAACACAGGAGCACTTTATCACTGAAATGCATCCCTAGCCCTTTTTATTTATTTTTATTTTTTAGTTTGAGACATGGTTTAGCTAAGTTGCTGAGACTAGCCTTGAGTTTGTGCTCCTCCTGCTTCAGACTCCCAAGTTGCTGGGATTACAGTAGTGTGCCACCATGCCCTGGCACATTTTCAAAGCATCAGGTTTTGAGCTGTAAAGAATATTTCCCCTCCCAATTTTCCTCATGAGGCCTGTGGCACTAGTGCTTCACTTTTCAAGAGTTACTCAGATATAACTGTGGCTTATTCTTTTTTAATATTTATTTTTTAGGTGTAGAGGGACACAACACAATGCCTTTATTTTTATGTGGTGCTGAGGATGGAACCCGGGTCCTGCCCGTGCTAGGCGAGTGCTCTACTGCTGAGCCACAATCCCAGCCCCGGCTTATTCTTTAACACATACAAAAGTCCAGAAATTCACTGAATCCTAATGTTTCCTATTTGTCCTGTTGTTTTTTTTTTCCTCGTCTATACAGCCATTTGATTTTGGCCCTAAAAATAAGCTTTGCAGGAAATGACAGAGAATAACCAGAATTACAAACATGAAAAAGTTTCAAAACCAGGCAGGCTAATAAGAAAGCTCATGAGCGTTCTCCTTTGGCACCTACAGCAGAAAGTTTAAAACTGGCAGATGTCTCCCCAGCAGAGGCAGGATGATTTCAAGTTCAAAGCCAGCCTCAGCAACTTTGTGAGGCCTAAACAACTTAGCAAGAACTTGTATCAAAATAAAAAAAAATCAATCAATCAATCAATCAATCAAAAGGGCTGGGGATGTGGCTTGATAGTTAAGTGGGTTCAATTCCTGGTACCAAAAACAAAAAACAAACAACTGGCAGATGTCCAACATGCCTGACATTTTCTTCTGTGCAGGTGGAAAATGTAAAGCTTCAAGTCTCCAACTCACCCACCCATATTTTAGGCAGGTGGGAAATTTAAACTGGCAAGTTTCCAATCTGCCAGCCATTTCCTTTATAATAGGCAGAAATTTTAAACATATTAATCTCCATCCCCACCCTCTAGACACTATAAAGGCCCAACTGGCTACTTCTGCCTCTCTCAAGTCAGTCCAGACCTGTTTGCATGTCCATCTCACTACCTGGAGTTCCCTGGGTAATAAAATTTCTCTCAGAATCCTTGGTGAATAATAGTGTCAGGAGCCTCCTCATCTGATTAAAATTAGGAAGCGGGAGGGCCCCGTAACAGAATAACTAGAAAACATTTATACACCAAAATTCCAATTTAATTTATTATTGTTTCATGAAAAATGTAACTGCCAAGAAGACCAGAAAACTCTAGTTAGCAAACTTTCTGTCAACAAAGGAGAAAAAGAAAAGGAAGTCTACATGAGAAGCCAAATCATAATGGAAAGGATATCTGATGAAAATGGAATTGACACATGGGGAAACTGGGTGATTTCAACTTGTCTATCCTTAAAACTCCTTTCTGTGCTTGTAGAAAATTGATCTTTGGTTCTCTTGACTAACTGGCCATGTATTCTCTTTTTTTCACAATTACCATTAAATAAAGATTTGCTTCTAAATAGCCTGTTGTGGTGATAATTTTTAAAATAATCATAAATTCACATAAAAATTCATTTATTGCATATATTCAAAATACTGCATATTCATCATTACTATCTAATTCCAGAAAATTTTCATTATCCCCTCCAAAGAAAACCACACCCTATTAGTAGCCACTCTCAATTCCTTCCTTCCTCTATTCCCTAGCAGTGATTAATTAACTTTGTATATCTATGGATTTGCTTATTCTGGATATCACATAAATGGAATCAATCACACAATATGTAGTTTTAGTGTCTGGTTTATTTCACTCGGCTTGTTTTTGTTTTGTTTTGTTTTTTGGTACCAGGAAATGAAGGCAGGGACACTCGACCACTGAGTCACATCCCCAGCCCTATTTTGTATTTTATTTAGAGACAGGGTCTCACTGAATTGCTTAGCATCTTGCTTTTGCTGAGGTTGGCTTTGAATTAATGATCTTCCTGCCTCAGCCTCCTGTGCCGCTGGGATTATAGGTGCACACCACCACACCCAGCTCACTTAGCATGGTTCTAAGGTAGATTCTCCCATGTTGTAGCATTTACCAGTGCATCCTTTCTTTATATGGCTGCATAATATTTCATTGCAGAAATATATCAGTTTTTGTTTACCCATACTTTAGTTGATGGACATTGGGTTGCATACACTTTTCAACTATGATTTTAAAAAAGTCACTATGAACATTGATATATAACATTTCAAAAAGCAGTTTTATTGAGGTATAGTTCACGTACTATAATTCACACATTTAAAGTGTATAATGTAATGGCTTTTAGTATATTCATCAGTATGGTGACTATCATCACAGTCTATTTTAGAACACCTTCATCACTCCAAGAGAAACCCCTATACATTAGCTATCATACTCTACTTACACACCCTCATTCCCCAGTTATCTTCCAGACATATATAGCCACTAGTCTGCTCTTTGTGTAGATTTCCCTGTTTGGGATATTTCATATAAACGGAAGTATATAATATGCCATCTTTTGTGACTGGCTTCATTCCCTTGGCATGTTTCCAGGATTCTTCCATGTTTCAACATATACTTCTTTCCTTTTTGTGACTGTATAATATTCCATGGATTTAGCACATTTTGTTTACCCACTTGTCAATTAATGGACATTTGTGTTGTTTCCATCTTTTGGATATTATGGATATTTGTGTGTACATTTTTGTATGCAGATATGCTTAAATTATTCTCTGTTATATAACTAGAAGTGTAAATATTAGAATATGTAATATTAATAATTATGATTAACTATTTAATGGACTGCCAAGCTTTTCCACAATGTCTGTGCCATTTTTCACTTCCACTAGGATTTATTAAGTTTGTAATTTCTCCACAACCTCACCAAAACTTTCCCTTTTTTAAAAAGGTAGAGCTGTTTTAAAATACCTTTATTTATTTATGTGGTGCTGAGGACTGAACTCTGTCACTGAGTCACAGCCCTAGCCTCAACACTTGGTCTTTTTCATTTTTGTTTTTGCTTTTTTGGTTATAGCCATCCTAGTGGGTGTAAAGGGGAATTTCCTTATGGTTTTGATTTGCGTTCCTCTGATGACTGATAGACTGATATTGTTGAACATCTTTTCATGTATTTATTGGCCATTTGTTACATATTCTTTGGATATCTATCCAAATCCTTTTGCTAATTTTCAAATTAGACCTTTTGTAAAGAGGAGCATTAAGTTTACAGCATATTGAGCAAAGTGTGCAGCAATTCCTGTATACTCTTTATCTCCCACATGCATTGCCTTCCCCATTATCGATAGCCCTTGCCAGAGTGTTACACTTATCACAATTGGTGAACCTGTGCAATCTAGGATTGACACCCCAGAAGTTATTAGTGAGCAATGCAAGAACACGGATAATCAAGTATTAACTTTATATGGTTTACACTGTCAAGTGTAGAGAGAATTTAGAGAAATGGGAAGTTAGAGCAAAGGGAAGTAGACATGCAAGTCCTGTGTTAAGCTGAGTTTTGACTAAGCAGGTTCTTGAAGGATGAATACAACTTGATAAAGCAAAGAAGAGGCATTTCAGATAACAGTAGGGACATGAAGGAAGGTAATGAGATATAAATGAAAAGTATGGTTGTGTAAGACAATAAGTGATCCATCTGATTAGAGGAGTTGTATATTAGTTTTAAGGGAAATAAGTGAACATTAATTTATTCTTGGGCTGGGGATGTGGCTCAAGCGGTAGCGCGCTCGCCTGGCATGCGTGCGGCCCAGGTTCGATCCTCAGCACCACATACCAACAAAGATGTTGTGTCCGCCGAGAACTAAGAAATAAATAAAATAAAATAAATATTAAAAATTCTCTCTCTCTCTCTCTCTCTTTCTCTCCTCTCTCACTCTCTCTTTAAAAAATTATTCTTTTATGTATTCACTCACGTAGCAAATGCTATTGAGCACTATGTCATGTGTTGGGAATACTGAGATAAATGCCTCCAATTTTCATATATTCAAGTGGTAGAAACAGGTTCAGAAACACAAATACACCATGATAGAGATGTGTTCCATGTGGCCTCCTGACTCAGCCTAGA